TGTATTGTGATATTCCATACCCCATATCGTGATATTCCATACCCCATATAGCGATACCCCATAATCCATATCATACACCCCATATAGTGGTATCCCATACCCTATAGCCTGCAACCCATACTCCATATCACAACATCCCATATGCCATATTGTGACCCCCCATACCCCATATCACGATATCCCACACCCCATATCCTGATATCCCATATTGCGATGCCCTATACCCCGTATCGTGAGATCCCATACCCCGTATCACCATATTCCATACACCATATCGCGATACCCCATACCCAATATCACTAGACCCTGTACCCCGTACCCCATACCACGATATCCCATAACCCCTATCGCGACACACCATGCCCCGTATCACGATATTCCCCACACCACATCGCGATACCCCACACCCAACATCACTACGCCCTATACCCCGTATCGTGACGCCCCATATCCCCACATATCGCGATATCCCACGCCCCGTATCGCGATACCCCATACTCCCCACCCCACACTCACGCTCTGGGGGTGCCGGGGGGGTGCCCGGGGGGGGGCACAAGGCACGCAGACGGTGGGTGCTGGTGAGGGGGGGGGCGGCGCCCGCCCGGACCCCCCGCCCCCTAAGGTCACTTCCGAGGGGCCGGGGGGCGGCGGGGGGGGGCGGGGGGCCGCCAGGCTGCGCTGGTCCTGTGGGGGGGGGGGGGCAAAGCGTCAAAGGGGGCGGGGCTTGGGGGGGGAAGGGGGCGGGGCTTGGGGAGGTCATGGGAGGACACCGAGGGGGGGTGATGGGGCTCAATGGGGGGTAATGGGTGGCAAGGGGGGGTAACGGGGGGCAATGGGGGGCTATGGGGGGGACCACTCACCTGTCTCTCTAGGGGGGGCCCGAGGCGGGGGGGGGGTGTCCAGGCGTCCCCATGCTGGGGGGGCCACAGCCCCTGGTGGGGCAACGGGAACGGGGGGGGCACCTGAGGACACAGGGACAATCAGGGACCCCCAGTGGACATCAGCCCCCCTTAATGCCACTCAGACCCCATTAATGCCCCCCAGACCCCATTAATGCTCCCCAGACCCCATTAATGCCCCCCCAAGACCACATTAATGCCCCCCAGACCCCATTAATGCCCACCAGACCCCATTAATGCTCCCCAAACCCCATTAATGCCCCCCCAAGACCCCATTAATGCCCCCACAGACCCCATTAATGCCCCCAGACCCCATTAATGCCCCCCCAGACCCCATTAATGCTCCCCAGACCCCATTAATGCCCCCCCAAGACCCCATTAATGCCCCCCAGACCCCATTAATGCCCTCCCAGACCCCATTAAGGCCCACCAGACCCCATTAATGCTCCCCAGACCCCATTAATGCCCCCCCAAGACCCCATTAATGCCCCCACAGACCCCATTAATGCCCCCCACAGACCCCATTAATGCCCCCCCAAGACCCCATTAATGCCCCCCAGGCCCCATTAATACCCCCCCAGACCCGATTAATACCCCCCCAGACCCCATTAATGCCCCCAGACCCCATTAATGCCCCCCCAGACCCCATTAATGCCCCCAGACCCCATTAATACCCCCCCAGACCCGATTAATACCCCCACAGACCCCATTAATGCCCCCACAGACCCCATTAATGCCCACCCAGACCCCATTAATGCCCCCCAGGTCCCATTAATACCCCCCCCAGACCCCATTAATGCCTCCCCCAGACCCCATTAATGCCCCCCCCAGACCCCATTAATGCCCCCCCAGACCCCATTAATGCCCCAGACCCAATTAATACCCCCCCAGACCCCATTAATACCCCCCCAGACCCCATTAATGCCCCCCACAGATGCCATTAATGCCCCCCCAGACCCCATTAATGCCCTCCCAGACCCCATTAATGACCCCCACAGACGCCATTAATGCCCACCCAGACCCCATTAATGCCCCCACAGACCCCATTAATGCCCCCCAGACCCCATTAATGCCCCCCACAGACGCCATTAATGCCTCCCCCAGACCCCATTAATGCCCCCCCAGACCCCATTAATGCCCCCCCAGACCCCATTAATGCCCCCAGACCCCATTAATGCCTCCCCCAGACCCCATTAATACCCCTACAGACCCCATTAATGCCCCCACAGACCCCATTAATGCCCCCCACAGACTCCATTAATGCCCCCCCAGACCCCACTAATACCCCCCCAAACCCCATTAATGCCCTCCCAGACCCCATTAATGCCCCCACAGACCCCATTAATGCCCCCCCAGACCCCATTAATGCCTCCCCCAGACCCCATTAATGCCCCCAGACTCCATTAATGCCCCCCCAGATGCCATTAATACCCCCCCCAGACCCGATTAATACCCCCCAGACCCCATTAATGCCCCCCACAGACGCCATTAATGCCCCCCCAGACCCCATTAATGCCCCCCACAGACGCCATTAATGCCCTCCCAGACCCCACTAATACCCCCCCAGGCCCCATCAATGCCCCCCCAGACCCCATTAATGCCCCCCCCAGACCCCATTAATGCCTCCCCCAGACCCCATTAATGCCCCCAGACTCCATTAATGCCCCCCCAGATGCCATTAATACCCCCCCAGACCCGATTAATACCCCCCAGACCCCATTAATGCCCCCCACAGACGCCATTAATGCCCCCCCAGACCCCATTAATGCCCCCCACAGACGCCATTAATGCCCTCCCAGACCCCACTAATACCCCCCCAGGCCCCATCAATGCCCCCCCAGACCCCATTAATGCCCCCCCCAGATGCCATTAATGCCCCCCCAGACCCCACTAATACCCCCCCAGACCCCATTAATGCCCTCCCAGACCCCATTAATGCCCCCCACAGATGCCATTAATGCCCCCCCAGACCCCACTAATACCCCCCCAGACCCCATTAATGCCCTCCCAGACCCCATTCATGTCCCCCACCACCACTCTATGTCCCCCCCACCTGCTCGGGGCTGCGGCTCCGCTGGCGTTTGCCGGGGGGGGGCATCTCGTCGGGTGGGGCCGGGGGGGGGGGTTCGGGGGGGAGCGCCCCCCGCTTCAGCTGCACCCCCCGCTTGGGGGGGAAGGTCCGTTTCTGGGGGGGGGAGGGGCAGGTTTAATATCCCATATCCCATAATATCCATATCCCATAATATCCATATCCCCTATCCCATAACATCCATACCCCATAATATCCATATACGCTATCGTGTAATACTCATACCCCATCATACCCATACCGCGCAATATCTGTACCCCATATCCCATAATATCCGTATCCCGTAATGCCCATATCCCATAATAACCATATCCCATAATACCCCTATCCTATAATACCCATACCCCATAATATCCGTATCCCCTATCCCATAACATTCATACCCCATATCCCATAATATCCATATTCTCTACCCCATAATATCGATACCAATCAATACCCACACCCCCTATCCCATAATACCCACCTCCATACCATAATACCAATACCCCCATTGAATAACACCCATACCCATCCCATAATACCCATACCCCCATCCCATAATACCCGCACCCCATCTCATAATACCCATACCCCCCCATCCCATAATACCCATACCCTCATCCCATAATACCCATACCCATCCCATAATACCCATACCCCCCCGCCATCCCATAATACCCATACCCCCTATCCCATAATACCCGTACCCCCCATACCCATCCCATAATACCCCCCATACCCATCCCATAATACCCCCCATAGCCATCCCATAATACCCCCCATACCCATCCCATAATACCCCCCATAGCCATCCCATAATACCCCCCATAGCCATCCCATAATACCCCCCATAGCCATCCCATAATACCCCCCATACCCATCCCATAATACCCCCCATAGCCATCCCATAATACCCCCATAGCCATCCCATAATACCCCCCATAGCCATCCCATAATACCCCCCCATAGCCATCCCATAATACCCCCCCATAGCCATCCCATAATACCCCCCATAGCCATCCCATAATACCCCCATAGCCATCCCATAATACCCCCCATAGCCATCCCATAATACCCCCCCATAGCCATCCCATAATACCCCCATAGCCATCCCATAATACCCCCCATAGCCATCCCATAATACCCCCCCATAGCCATCCCATAATACCCCCCATACCCATCCCATAATACCCCCCATAGCCATCCCATAATACCCCCCATAGCCATCCCATAATACCCCCCCATAGCCATCCCATAATACCCCCATACCCATCCCATAATACCCCCCATAGCCATCCCATAATACCCCCCATAGCCATCCCATAATACCCCCCATAGCCATCCCATAATACCCCCCATAGCCATCCCATAATACCCCCCCATAGCCATCCCATAATACCCCCCATAGCCATCCCATAATACCCCCATAGCCATCCCATAATACCCCCCATAGCCATCCCATAATACCCCCCCATAGCCATCCCATAATACCCCCATAGCCATCCCATAATACCCCCCATAGCCATCCCATAATACCCCCCCATAGCCATCCCATAATACCCCCCATACCCATCCCATAATACCCCCCATAGCCATCCCATAATACCCCCCATAGCCATCCCATAATACCCCCCCATAGCCATCCCATAATACCCCCATAGCCATCCCATAATACCCCCCATAGCCATCCCATAATACCCCCCCATAGCCATCCCATAATACCCCCCATACCCATCCCATAATACCCCCCATAGCCATCCCATAATACCCCCCATAGCCATCCCATAATACCCCCCATAGCCATCCCATAATACCCCCATACCCATCCCATAATACCCCCCATAGCCATCCCATAATAGCGCTCACCTCGGGGGGGCTCCAGGCCTGCTGGAGCGGGGGCAGGGCCCTGTTCCGGGGGGGGGAGGGGGGGCCTGGGGGGAAGCTCCAGAGCTGGGCCTGGGGTGGGGGGCACGGGGGCGGGGTCAGCCCCAGACACACCCAGCAACCCCATATCGCGATATCCCATACCCCATATCGCGATATCCCATACCCCATATCGCGATATCCCATACCCCATATCGCGATAGCCCGTACCCCATATCGCGATAGCCCATATCCCATTCCACGGTATCACAATATCTCATATCCTATATCGTGATACCCCATATCGCAATATCCCATACCCCATATCGCGATATCCCATACCCCATATCGCGATAGCCCATACCCCGTATCGCGATAGCCCATATCCCATTCCACGGTATCACAATATCTCATATCCCATATCATGATATCCCATATCGCAATATCCCATACCCCATATCACGATATTCCATACCCCATATCATGATATCCAACACCGTGATATCCCATACCCCCTATCCCATACCCCATATCGCAATATCCTGTATCGTGATATCCCATATCATGATATCCCATACCCCATATCCCTTACCCCATATTGCAATATCCCAAACCCCCATATCACAATATCCCATATTGATATCCCATTCCACATATCCTGTACCCCATATCGTGATATCCCATGCCCATATTGCGATATCCCATATCTTGCTATCCCAAACCCCATACCCCATATCCCATACACCATATCGTGATATCCCATATAGTGATAGCGCATACATCGTACTCCATATCCCATGCCCAGACCTCATATTGCGATATCCCATATCACAATATTCTATATACCCTATCCATACCCCGTATCGCGATATCCAATATCCCATTCCACGGTATCACAATATCTCATATCCCCTATCGCAATATCCCGTACCCCATATCCCATACCCCCTATCGCAATATCCCATACCCCATATAACATGCCCCCTATCGCGATGTCCCGTACCCCATATCCCATACCCCCTATCGCGATATCCCGTACCCCATATCGCAATACCTCCATTACGATATCCCGTACACCATATCGCAATACCCCCATCGCGATATCCCGCACCCCATATCACAATACCCCCATTACGATATCCCGTACCCCATATCGCGATACCCTGTACCCCATATCGCAGTACCCCATATCGCGATATCCCGTACCCCATATCGCAATACCCCGTATCAAGGTACCCCTTATCGCGATATCCTGTACCCCATACCCCCTATCGCAATATCCCGTACCCCATACCCCATGCCCCCTATCGCGATATCCCGCACCCCATATCCCATACCCCCATCGCGATTTCCCGTTCCCCATATCCCATACCCCGTATCGTGGTATCCCGCACCCCATATCCCATACCCCCTATCGCGATATCCCGTACCCTATATCCCATACCCCCTATAGCGATATCCCGTACCCCATACCCAATACCCATCGCGGTATCCCGTACCCCATATCGCAATACCCCATATCGCGATATCCCGTACCCCATATCCCATACCCCCATCGCGATAACCCATCCCCCATATCCCATACCCCATATCATGATATCCCTTACCCCATATAGCATACCTCTATTGCGATATCCCGTACCCCATACCCCCATCGCGATATCCTGTACCCCATATCCCATACGCCCTATCATGATATCCCGTACCCCATACCCCCATTGCGATATCCAGTACCCGATATCCCATACCCCCTATTGCGATATCCCATACCCCATAGCCCCATCGCAGTATCCCGTACCCCATATCGCAATACCCCATATCGCGATATCCCGTACCCCATATCCCATACCCCCATTGCGATATCAGTAGCCCATATCCCATACCCCATATTGTGATATCCCGTACCCCGTATCCCACCCCCCCACCGCGATACCCCGTACCCCATATCGCAATACCCCCTATCGCGATATCAAGTACCCCATATCCCATACCCCCACTGCGATATCCCGTACCCCATATCCCATACCCCATATCACGATATCCCATGCCCCATATCCCGTACCCCTTATCGCGATATACCGTACCCCATATCCCATACCCCCTATCGTGATATCCCGTACCCCATACCCTATACCCCATATCGCGGTATCCCGTACCCCATATCGCAATACCCCATATCACGATACCCCGTACACCATATCACATACCCCCATTGCGATATCCCGTACCCCATATCCCATCCCCCATCGCGATATCCCGTACCCCATATCCCATACCCCCTATCGTGATATCCTGCACCCCATATCCCATACCCCCATCGCGATATCCCATACCCCATATCCCATACCCCCTATCGCGATACCCAGTACCCCCGATCGCGATACCCCGTACCCCATATCGCGATATCCCGTACCCCATATCACGATACCCCGTACCCCATATTGTGATATCCTGTACCCCATATCCCATACCCCCTATCGCAATATCCCATACCCCCTATCGTGATATCCCGTACACCCTATCGCGATACCCCGCACCCCCATCGCGATATCCCGTACCCCATATCCCGTACCCCCATCGCGATATCTCATACCCCCTTTCGCGATACCCCGCACCCCATATTGCGATATCCCATACCCCCTATCGCGATATCCTGTACCCCCTATCGCGATATCCCGTACCCCATATCAGGATACCCCGTACCCCATATCGCGATATCCCTTACCCCATATCGCGATATCCCGTACCCCATATCGCAATATCCCGCACAACATATCGCGACATCCCGTACCCCCTATCGCGATACCCCGCACCCCCTATTGCAATATCCCGCACCCCATATCGCGATATCCCTTACCCCATATCGCGATATCCCGTACCCCATATCGTGATATCCCGCACCCCATATCGCGATATCCCGCACCCCATATCGCGATATCTCGTGCCCATATCGCGATACCCCGCACCCCATATCGCGATACCCCGCGCCCCATATCGCGATATCCCGCGCCCCATATCGCGATACCCCGCACCCCATATCGCGATACCCCTTACCCCATATCGCGATACCCCGCACCCCCTATCGCGATACCCCGTACCCCATATCGCGATACCCCGCACCCCATATCGCGATACCCCGCACCCCATATCGCGATACCCCTTACCCCATATCGCGATACCCCGCACCCCCTATCGCGATACCCCGTACCCCATATCGCGATACCCCGCACCCCATATCGCGATACCCCGCACCCCATATCGCGATACCCCGTACCCTCACCTGCTGCAGCCCCCGCAGCCGCACCGCCAGCTCCCCCCGCGCCCCTCGGGCCCGCCCGGGGCAGGCGCTCTCCAGCTCCGCGGCGCCCTCTGCCGGCGGCTCCCAGGGCAGCAGCCGCACGCACCCCGGGGGGGGCGGCTCCAGCGGCGCCCGGGGCGGGGGGGCGGCCCTGACCCATAGAGGGCGTCACTTGTGGGGCTCAGCCACACGGACTGAGCCCCCCTGGGGGGCACTTGTGGGGCTCAGCCCCATGGATTGATGCCCATGGGGGGCACTTGTGGGGCTCAGCCCCATGAATTGAGCCCCATGGGGTGCACTCGTGGGGCTCAGCCCCATGGACTGACCCCCATGGAGGGCACTTGCGGGGCTGAGCCCCACGGACTGACCCCCATGGAGGGCACTTGTGGGGCTCAGCCCCATGGATTGATGCCAATGGAGGGCACTTGTGGGGCTCAACCCAATGGATTAAGCCCCATGGAGAGCACTTGTGGGGCTCAGCCCCATGGATTGACCCCCATGGGGGGCACTTGTGGGGCTCAGCCCCATGGATTGATGCCCATGGGGGGCACATGTGGAGCTCAGCCCCATGGATTGAGCCCCATGGGGGGCACTTGTGGGGCTCAGCCCCATGGATTGATGCCCATGGGGGGCACTTGTGGGGCTCAGCCCCATGGACTGACCCCCATGGAGGGCACATGTGGAGCTCAGCCCCACGGATTGAGCCCCATGGAGGGCACTTGTGGGCCTAAGCCCCATGGATTGACCTCCATGGAGGGCACTTGTGGGGCTCAGCCCCATGAATTGATGCCCATGGAGGGCACTTGTGGGGCTCAGCCCCACGGACTGAACCCCATGGGGGGCACATGTGGAGCTCAGCCCCATGGATTGAGCCCCATGGAGGGCACCTGTGGGGCTCAGCCCCATGGACTGAACCCCATGGAGAGCACTTGTGGGGCTCAGCCCCACGGACTTGATCCCCATGGAGGGCACTTGCGGGACTCAGCCCCATGGACTGAACCCCATGGAGGGCACTTGTGGGGCTCAGCCCCATGGACTGAACCCCATGGAGAGCAATTGTGGGGCTCAGCCCCACGGACTGACCCCCATGGAGGGCACTTGTGGGGCTCAGCCCCATGGATTGATGCCAATGGAGGGCACTTGTGGGGCTCAACCCAATGGATTAAGCCCCATGGAGAGCACTTGTGGGGCTCAGCCCCATGGATTGACCCCCATGGGGGGCACTTGTGGGGATCAGCCCCATGGATTGATGCCCATGGGGGGCACTTGTGGGGCTCAGCCCCATGAATTGAGCCCCATGGGGGGCACTCGTGGGGCTCAGCCCCATGGACTGAACCCCATGGAGAGCACTTGTGGGGCTCAGCCCCACGGACTTGATCCCCATGGAGGGCACTTGTGGGGCTCAGCCCCACGGACTTGATCCCCATGGAGGGCACTTGTGGGGCTCAGCCCCACGGACTTGATCCCCATGGAGGGCACTTGCGGGACTCAGCCCCATGGATGCCCCTGGCAATGTGGGGGGGGGGAACGGACACGACGGGACATGGGTAGAACTTACCCTGGGGGGTAGAAGGACTTGTGGGGGGGGACCCCATTGCCTCCGTGGGGGGGCAGGAGGTGGGGGGGCAGCGGGGCCTGCCCGAGGCTGGAAGAGCACCTGTGGGGGGGGAAAGATGGTGGGGGACCCCCCCGGTTATGGGGTCCCTATGGGGCAGTGAGGGGGTTCCTATAGGGTGCTATGGGGCAGTGCGGGGGTTCCTATAGGGTGCAATGGGGCAGTGTGGGGGTTCCTATAGGGTGCACTGGGGCAGTGTGGGGGTCTTTATAGGGTGCTATGGGGCAGTGTGGGGGTCCCCATAGGGTGTTATGGGGCAGTGGAGGGGTCTCTATAGGGAGCTATGGGGCAGTGGGGGGGTTCCTATAGGGTGCTATGGGGCAGTGTGAGGTGGTGTAGGGGTCCCTATGGGACAGTGTGTGCAATGTGGGGATCCCCATGGGGCAGTGTGAGTCGCTATGGGTCAGTATGGGACAGTGTGTGGGTCACTATGGGTTGCTATGGGTCAGTGCCAGTCACTATGGGTCAGTGTGTGGGTCTCTGTGGCTCGCTATGGGGCACGGGGGGGCAGTCTGTGGGATGCTGTGTGTTGCTGTGGGTCTCGATGGGTCAGTATATGGGTCGCTATGGGTCAGTGTGTGCTGCTATGGGTCTCTGTGGGTCAGTATATGGGCCGCTTTGGGTCTCTATAGGCCAGTATATGGGTCGCTATGGGTCTCTGTGGGTCAGTATATGGATCGCTTTCGGTCTCTATGGGCCAGTATATGGGTCGCTATGGGTCTCTATGGGTAGCTATGGGGCACTGTGCGCTGCTATTGGTCTCTATGGGTCAGTGTGCGTTGCTATGGGTCTCCATGGGGTCTCTATGGGTTGCTATGGGTCTCTATGGGTCACTATGGGTCCCTATGGGTCACTATTGGTCACTATGTGTCTCTGTGGGGTCTCTATGGGTCGCTATGGGGCAGTACCTGGTGGCGGGCAGCCAGGCCCGGGGTGGGGGGCAGGCGGCCCAGGCCCCACCGCAGCCCAGGCTCCCCACGGCGAAGGGGTCCCGACCGGCCCTGCCCCCCAGCGGCTCCACGGCGCGATGCATCCAGCCTGCGAGCATGGGACCCATAGGGAACAATGGGGCCCCATAGGGAACAATGGGACCCATAGGGAACAATGGGGCCCCATAAGGAACAATGGGGCCCCATAGGGAACAATGGGGCCCATAGGGAACACTGGGGCCCCATAGGGAACAATGGGGCCCATAGGGAACAATGGGACCCATAGGGAACAATGGGGCCCATAGGGAACGATGGAGCCCCATAGCACCCCACAGACCCCCCAAAGACCCCCAATAGAGCCCCACAGACCCCCAATAGCGCCCCATAGACCCCAATAGAGCCCCACAGACCCCCCCATAGACCCCTAATAGCGCCCCATAGACCCCAATAGAGCCCCATAGACCCCCCACAGACACCCAAGAGTGCCCCATAGACCCCAATAGAGCCCCATAGACCCCCCACAGACACCCAATAGCGCCCCATAGACCCCAATAGAGCCCCACAGACCCCCCCATAGACCCCTAATAGCGCCCCATAGACCCCAATAGAGCCCCATAGACCCCCCACAGACCCCTAATAGCGCCCCATAGACCCCAATAGAGCCCCATAGACCCCCCACAGACCCCTAATAGAGCCCCATAGACGCCAATAGAGCCCCATAGACCCCCCACAGACCCCCAATAGAGCCCCATAGACCCCAATAGAGCCCCATAGACCCCCCACAGACCCCCAACAGCGCCCCATAGACCCCAATAGAGCCCCATAGACCCCCCCATAGACCCCTAATAGCACCCCATAGACCCCAATAGAGCCCCATAGACCCCCCACAGACCCCCAATAGCACCCCATAGACCCCAATAGAGCCCCATAGACCCCCCACAGACCCCTAATAGCGCCCCATAGACCCCAAGAGAGCCCCATAAGCCCCCAGAGCCCCCCACAGCCACACCACAGCCCCCTATGGACACCCCATAGCGCCCCAGAGCCCCCTATAGACACCCTACAGAGCCCCACATACACCACATAACCCCCCATAGACACCCCACAGCCCCCCCATGGACACCCCATAGATAGACACCCATAGACACTCTACAGCACCCCACAGTGCCCCACAGACACCCCATAGACACCGCATAGCCCCCCACAGCCCCCCATAGTCAGACACCCATAGACACCCTACAGCACCCCACAGCCCCCCCATAGACAGACACCCATAGACACCCTACAGCACCCCATAGACACTGCATAGCCCCCCCACAGCCCCCCTATGGACACCCCACAGCCCCTCAGACACCCCATAGCCCCTCAGACACCCCATAGCCCCCATAGACACCCATAGCCCCCCATAGCCCTCCATAGAAACTCCATAGTGCCCCATAGCCCCCATAGTGCCCCATAGCCCTCCATAACCCCCATAGACACTATAGAAACCCCATAGTGCCCCATAGCCCCCCTAGTGCCCCATAGCTCCCATAGACACTCATAGAAACCCCGTAGTGCCCCATAGCCCCCATAGTGCCCCATAGCCCCCCATAGACACTCATAGAAGCCCCATAGTGCCCCATAGCCCCCATAGTGCCCCATAGCCCCCCACAGACACTCATAGGAACCCCATAGTGCCCCATAGCACCCACAGTGCCCCATAGCCCCCATAGACACCCATAGCCCCCCATAGACACTCATAGGAACCCCATAGTGCTCCACAGTGCCCCATAGCCCCCATAGTGCCCCATAGCCCCCATAGACACCCATAGCCCCCCATAGACACTCATAGGAACCCCATAGTGCCCCACAGTGCCCCATAGCCCCCACAGTGCCCCATAGCCCCCATAGACCCCCATAGCCCCCCATAGACACTCATAGGAATCCCATAGACACTCATAGGAACCCCACAGTGCCCCATAGCCCCCACAGACACCCATAGCCCCCCATAGACACTCATAGGAATCCCATAGACACTCATAGGAACCCCACAGTGCCCCATAGCCCCCACAGACACCCATAGCCCCCCATAGACACTCATAGGAACCCCATAGTGCCCCACAGTGCCCCATAGCCCCCACAGTGCCCCATAGCCCCCATAGCGCCCCATAGCCCCCATAGTGCCCCACAGCCCCCATAGTGCCCCATAGCCCCCATAGCGCCCCATAGCGCCCCATAGCGCCCCATAGCCCCACTCACCGCTCCGGGGCTGGGTCCCCGCGGGGGGCGGGTCAGGGGCAGCCCCGGTGGGGGGAGGGGCGGCTGCTGGGCTGGGGCGGCCCCGCCCTCACCTGGGGTCAAAGTTCACGGGGGTCATGGGGGCCAATGGGGGGGTGGTTATGGGGCAGGAGCTCGGTTATGGAGCAGATATGGGGTAATTATGGGGCAGAGGATCGGTTATGGGGCAGAGGATTGGTTATGGGGCAGGGGGGGCTGGTTATGGGGCAGGAGATCAGTTATGGGGCAGCTATGGGGCAGTTATGGGGTAATTATGGGGCAGAGGATTGGTTATGGGGCAGGGGGACTGGTTATGGGGCAGTTATGGGGCAGGGATTGGTTGGGGGGGGGAAAGAAGGAACAACGTGGGGCGGAAGTGGGCGGGGCTCCCGCGTGACGTCAGATGACGCAGGCCCCGCCCCCTCACCGATCCGGCGACGCTCTCCAGGAATCCGGCCAATCACAGGGCGCCCCACGCCTGGCAGCCAATCATCGTCCCCAGCCGTCTTCTAGCTCAGCCTGAGGGGACCAATGGGAGGCGGGGGTTAGGCCGGGGCTAGCCAATCAGAGAAAGGTAGGAGGGGGGGTGTCCACATGGCTCTGGGGCAGAGACATGGGGGGGGAACCACTGTGGGGCTGGTGTGGGGCAGCCATGGGGCAGGACCCGGTGCTATGGGGCAGGACCCGGTGCTATGGGGCGGGACGAGGTGCTATGGGGCAGGACGCGCTGCTATGGGGCAGGGCTTCCCCCGCCCCCCCATGGCTGTGACGTTGCAGCCGCCCACGGGGGGGAGTTTTGGGGCCTTCCCATGACGTGGAGGGGGTGGGGCAGCCATGGGAAACCCCAGAGCGACCCACGGCTGCCCCATAGCAACTCATGGCTGCCCCATAGAGACACACAGCTGCCCCATAGAGACCCACAGCTACCCAATAGTGACACACAGCTGCGCCATAGGAACCTACAGCTGCCCCATAGAGACCCACGGCTGCCCCATAGCAATCCATAGCTGCCCCACAGAGACCCACAGCTGCTCCATAGCAACTCACGGCTGCCCCATAGCGACCCATGGCTGCCCCATAGCAATCCATGGCTGCCCCACAGCGACCCACGGCTGCCCCACAGCGACCCACAGCTGCCCCATAGCAACTCACGGCTGCCCCATAGCGACCCATGGCTGCCCCAAACCCCTCTTAAAGTGGCATCCGTGAGGCACGTGACCTCATGTGACCCACAACCACGTGACCCACAACCATGCGTCCCCACCGGGCCCAGCACCACGCCTGACGGCGACGCCCATGACAGCAACGGTGGCACCGCAACCCTGTGCCGTTACACACGTGACCCACACCTGGACATGTGACCCACACCTGGACACGTGACCCACACCTGGACACACGTGACCCACACCTGGACACACGTGACCCACACCTGGACACGTGACCCACACCTCGACACACATGATCCACACCTGGACACACGTGACCCACACCTGGACACGTGACCCACACCTGGACACGTGACCCACACCTGGACACACGTGACCCACAACTGGACACACGTGACCCACAACTGGACACCCGTGAGCCACACCTGGACACACGTGACCCACACCTGGACACTTGACCCACACCTGGACACACGTGACCCACACCTGGACACGTGACCCACACCTGGACACACGTGACCCACACCTGAACACGTGACCCACACCTGGACACACGTGACCCACACCTGGACACACGTGACCCACACCTGGACACGTGACCCACACCTGGACATGTGACCCACACCTGGACACACATCATCCACACCTGGACACACGTGACCCACACCTGGACACACGTGACCCACACCTGGACACACGTGACCCACAACTGGACACACGTGACCCACACCTGGACACACGTGAGCCACACCTGGACACGTGACCCACACCTGGACACGTGACCCACACCTGGACACACGTGACCCACACCTGGACACACGTGATCCACACCTGGACACCCGTGATCCACACCTGGACACCCGTGAGCCACGCCTGGACACACGTGACCCACAACTGGATACACATGACCCACAACTGGATGCATGTGAGCCACACCTGGACACATGTGAGCCACACCTGGACACGTGACCCACACCTGGACACACGTGATCCACACCTGGACACGTGACCCACACCTGGACACGTGACCCACACCTGGACACACGTGATCCACACCTGGACACGTGACCCACACCTGGACACGTGACCCACACCTGGACACACGTGACCCACACCTGGACACACATGATCCACACCTGGACACGTGACCCACACCTGGACACACGTGACCCACAGCTGGACACACGTGACCCACACCTGGACACACGCGACCCACACCTGGACATGTGACCCATAACTGGACATGTATGACCCACAAATGGACACATGTGACCCATAACCATGTTGTGTGCCCCACAACTGGACCCATGTGACCCATAACCATGCTGTGTGACCCACACTTGGACATATGTGACCCACAACGAGACACTTGTGACCCACAACCACACACATGTGCCCCACAACCAGACACATATGAGCCACAACCATGTTCTAGACCCACAACCATGCTGTGTGACCCACAACCATGTTCTCTGACCCACAATACACGGACCCACAACCACGCTGTGTGACCCAAAACCATGCTCTCTGACCCACAACTATGTCCTATGACCCACAACCATATTGTATGACCCACAACACATGGACCCACAACCATGCTCTAGACCCACATGTGCCCCACAACCAGACACATGTGACCCACAACCATGTCCTATGACCCACAACCATATTGTATGACCCACAACACATGGACCCACAACCATGCTCTAGACCCACAACACATGTGCCCCACAACCTGACACAGTGACCCACAACCATGTCCTATGACCCACAACCATGTTCTCTGACCCACAACACATAGACCCACAACCATGTCCTATGACCCACAACGATATTGTATGACCCACAACCATGCTCTAGACCCACATGTGCCCCACAACCAGACACATGTGACCCACAACCATGTCCTACGACCCACAACCATGTCCTTTGACCCACAACTCATGGACCCACAACAATGTCCTATGACCCACAACCATATTGTATGACCCACAACACATGGACCCACAACCATGCTCTAGACCCACAACACATGTGCCCCACAACCAGACATAGTGCCCCACAACCATGTCCTATGACCCACAACCATGTTCTCTGACCCACAACACATGGACCCACAACAATGTCCTATGACCCACAACCATATTGTATGACCCACAACACATGGACCCACAACCATGCTCTAGACCCACATGTGCCCCACAACCAGACACATGTGACCCACAACCATGTCCTATGACCCACAACCATGTCCTCTGACCCACAACTCATGGACCCACAACAATGTCCTATGACCCACAACCATGTTCTCTGACCCACAACACATGGACCCACAACAATGTCCTATGACCCACAACCATGTTGTGTGACCCACAACCAGACACATGTGCCCCACAACCACATCCTATGACCCACAACCATGTTCTCTGACCCACAACACATGGACCCACAACCATGTCCTCTGACCCACAACCATGTTGTGTGACCCACAACAATGTCCTATGACCCACAACCATGTTGTGTGACCCACAACCAGACACATGTGCCCCACAACCACGTCCTACGACCCACAACCATGTCCTCTGACCCACAACACATGGACCCACAACCATGTCCTCTGACCCACAACCATGTCCTGTGACCCACAACAATGTCCTATGACCCACAACCATGTTGTGTGACCCACAACCAGACACATGTGCCCCACAACCACGTCCTATGACCCACAGCCATGTTCTCTGACCCACAACACATGGACCCACAACCATGTCCTCTGACCCACAACTCATGGACCCACAACAATGTCCTATGACCCACAACCATGTTGTGTGACCCACAACCAGACACATGTGCCCCACAACCACGTCCTACGACCCACAACCATGTTCTCTGACCCACAACACATGGCCCCACAACCATGTCCTGTGCCCCACAGCCATGCTCCCTGCCCCACACCCGTGGGTCCCCCCTGCCCCACACACACACCTAGGGGTAACGTGTCCTTACCGTGCCCCATGTGCCCTGTCCCGTGCTCGGGCCCCACATGGACACGGGTGAGTCACCGGCACCGCGTGGGTTCCCACACCCACCCCCCCCCCCCCAACCCAACCCCAACACGGGGACGGTGACGTCAGCGTGACGTCATCAGCGGGCCGGCGCCGGAGGGGGAGGGGACACGGGGAGGGCACGTGGGGACATGGGAGGGCCATGGGATAAATGGAGATGGGAATGGGGTGGGGGGTGGGGGGTATGGGGTGTGGGATGTGGGATATGGGGTGTGGGATATGGGGTATGGGGTGTGGGGTATGGGGTGTGGGGTATGGGATGTGGGATATGGGATGTGGGATATGGGGTATGGGATGTGGGGCATGGGGTGTGGGATATGGGGTATGGGGTGTGGGGTATGGGGTATGGGATGTGGGGTGTGGGATATGGGGTATGGGGATTAGGGTGTGGGGTATGGGATGTGGGGCATGGAGTATGGGATGTGGGGTACGGGGTGTGGGGTATGCGGTGTGGGATATGGGGTGTGGGGTATGTGGTACAGGATATGGGGTGTGGGGTATGGGGTACAGGGTATGGGGTGTGGGGCATGGGGTATGGGGAATGGGGTGTGGGGTGGGGAGTATGGGATATGGGGTATGGGGTGGGGGATATGGGGTATGGTGAATGGGGTATGGGGTACGGGGTATGGGGCATGGGGTATGGGATATGGGGTATGGGGTGTGGGGTATGGGACACACGAGGACACAAGGTGACACGAGGACACGCGAGGCCACGGGGTGACACGGGGACAGCCCCATAGGCCTGCATGGGACACGCAAGCCCACACGTGACCCCCCCCCACGACAACAGGCACGTGACCCTGGTCACGTGTCATCGCACCCCCCTTCCCCCCCCCGGGGTCGCAAGCGTGTTGTAGCATGTTACATGTATGTTCCGTGTGGGGGGCACACATGTGCCCCTGCTCCTGCCCCACTGAGCCCCAGGGATGGGCTGGGGGGGGGGGGGGGAGAAACTGAGGCACAGAGAGTTTGGGCTATGGGGCAGCCATGGGGTGGTTGTGGGGCACGTGTGGGGCAGCCATGGGGAGGATGTGGGGCAGCCATAGGGCAGGGGTAGGGTTCTTGTGGGGCAGCCATAGGGTGCCTGTGGGGCAGTAATGGGGCAGGTGTGGGGTGCTTATGTGGCAGCCATGGGCAGGTGCGGGGTGCTTGTGGGGCAGCCATGGGGCAGGTGGGGGGCAGCCATAGGGAGGATGTGGTGCAGCCATGGGGTGCCTGTGGGGCAACCATAGGGCAGATGTGGGGTGCCTGTGGGGCAGCAATGGGGAAGGTGTGGGGTGCTTATGTG